CATCTCTGCCCTTTGGGTCCAAGTGGGAAATAGCAAAAGAGAGGGCAGGGTGCCCCGTCAGACAGCACCTGGGGGGCAGGGGTGGCCGCACTTGCCCTGAGCTGTGTGGGGCGGTCAGCAAACCACTCGCCTTCTCTAGGCCACAGTGTTCTCAGCCGAACATCAAAGGATGTATCAGATGAGATATCTCCAAGGCGTCCTCTGACGCAAACCGTGTTGTGTGATCCTGACAGAGCCTTGGGGTGGGTGGGTGTCTGCGAATGGGCTTCCCGCTCACACGCACACTTGGGTGAATGGGGACCCAGAGAGGCAACTGCGGTGTTTCCAAGGTCAGGGTCAGGGGCCGGGAAGTCTGGGCTTTTCCCGTCCCATCCACGTGCCCGGTCCTTGGATCTCCACCCCCACTTCCGCTATAGGTATTCCCACCTCTCATCCACACCCCCAACTCATGCCCCCCTCTTCCACCCAAACACAGACAGAAGGGAGAGAGGGAAGGAGCAGGGGAGGGGAGAAGGAACTAGAGAGAAGGGGTGCGAGGAGAGAAGGGGCGAAGGGAGGGGGAGAACATGACCATTTCGGTGCACAAATAGCTCAGATCCTAGCTTCCCACGGAGAACTGTAAGACCGAGGGAAGTCTCATCTGTCTGCTTTCCCACCCCTGTCTCCTCTTTCAATTTACTTTTCCTCTATTCCTGAGATTCATCATCATTCAAAAGAAAGAAAGGCGCTTTGGTCTTTTAAGGGTACCTTTTCATGAAGCTTCTGTGGTGTTCCTTCCTCTGTAGTTCTGCGAGGAGGGGGTGCTGGCGGGGACCTGAAGGAAGGGTGATGGGGGTTCTGCAAAGCTGCCCGTAGGAGGTGGGATGGGCTGGAGACAGGGAGGGGCACCTCCGGCTGTCACAGGAGCCTGGTCAAAGGACACTCATTTCCTGGCCTTCCAAGCTGTGAACAGAAACGTTAGGAAGGAGAGGAGGTTATAGGTGGGGAAGATGCCCTTTGGGAAAGGCAGTCCTGTCTCAGATTAAATGGGTTAGGCCCTGCTCCGTCCCCCCCCATTGTAATCTTTGATCTCTGGGGCGGTGGAGAGAGAAGCCCCAGGGTGCAGGCTGGGGAGTCAGCGCCCAGCCAGGGGCATTTATTTTTTTCACATGTACTCAGAGCTCATTAATGATAGCTGAGGAAGTTGGGGTATGTTTGTAGGGCATTCAGGAGACATAGGGATGGGCTGGGGTCGGAACGCAGGGCAGTCAAAACACAGCCCCGCTCCCCTTCCTCTCTGAATTTGGACAAGGCTTGCCTCAGTTTCCTTTTTGATCCAACCCCGAGCACCTCGCAGGCTGCCGAGAGGGCCGCCTGAGCAGCAGGGGAGGGAATGTTCAGCTGCGCCACGGTGCTCAGAGTTGGGGTCCTTGTCCCGTGGCGGGGAACCATTCTCCTCCCCTGAGCGCATCCTCGAGCAAGAGGTTCATGGGGAGACCTGCCCTTTTCTCCCCTCCTCTCGCCCCCTTCTCCAGTCCCAGGAGGTGGCCAAGACAAAGGACAGAACTGATTTTTGGAGAAGAAGCCTGGATGGTCACAGAGCTCGTGACTCGGGCTGGAGCCCACCAGGTCTACCCCGCAGGAAAACGGCACCGTTCCCGACTGGCCGGGACTGCAGGCTCCTGCCGATGGCTCCATCCAGTTCTTTACATCCTGGGACTCATTTTCAGGAGTGGCCTCAGAAAGTCTAGACAGATGTGGCTTAGGGGCTGCCATCTGTTTGGGAATGGGGTGCAGTGGCAGGGCCCTTGGGACTCACCCCGAACTTCTCCCCCGCTGCACAGGGGCTTCTCACGCTGCAAACGGCAGCTGCTTGACCGTTGAGCACAGGCCTCCAAAATCCCAACGGCATCAGAGGCGACAGCGGTGGCTTAAAATTGGGAACGCTCCACGAGTTTCATGTTTCCACAATCAACTTCAGAAACGTGCGTGGCCCATAAAGTGTGTCACCTCTCCCCGCTGGTTACTCATCCATGAAACAGATGTGTCGCCAAAACACGGCTGCGGCTCTTAAGTCTAGTATTTGAAGAAAAAAATGCATCCGCCGAAATGTCCTACACGGACTCGATTGTAAGACATCAGGAGTGAAATCAAATCCACCAACGTGCAGGGGGCGGGGGCAAAAGCCGGCGTACAGTCGTTGGTATGGAAAATGATACATAAATAATACAGAAATAGGTACTATTATCATTCCCCTTTTGAACGTGAAGAAACAGGCTCATGGAAATGAAGCGGGCAGGATTTAACCAGCCCAAAGCCTGAACCCATCCATGAAACAGACATGTCTCCAAAACACAGCCGTGTTCATATAATTCATAAATAACACAAGAATAATAAGCTTTGTTTCGCGTACTCGCAACTGTGAACCTACTCTGCCACACCCTGTATGTTGATCCTCGGTAGTATTATTACAAAAAGCAAACATTTGGCGAATTCCTCTTACACTCTGGGCATTCTTCTAAGTGTTTTACATACACGTTCTCACTTAATTCTAACAACAATTCTATAGAGTATTATTACGCCCATTTCATACATAAAACTCAACGCAATTCAGCAAAATTCCCACCGTCACACAGATGGTGAGGAACAGAAATGGATTCAAGGCCAGGTTTGCCTGCGCCAGGCTCACCCTCCAACCGCAGCAGTTGCCTTTTGCTTTGCTGGGCGCCTCCTAGGAAGCCAGGGGGCGGAGGGGTCTAACTCCCAAACTCTGGGTCCAGGCTTTGGGCCTGGGTTCAATCCTGTCCGCTTCATTTCTATGAGCCTGTTTCTTCGCGTGCAGAAGGGCAATGATAATAGTGTCTACTTCATAGCATTGAGAATCGAATGAGACGCGGCAGGTACAGGGTTTAGGGCTCGGTAACGGTTAGCTTTTCCTGTTATTTCCAGGCATTGTGCCAGGCTCTGTGGGGTGAAAAGAAGTCAGAGAGACGGGGCTTGGGACCCATGTCCTCCATGACTCAAAGCCCAGGGAGGCAGCCTGGCTGGAGTGGCTCAGTTGGTTGAATGTTGTCCCATCAACTGAAAGGTCACTGGTTTGATTCCTGGTCAGGGCACATGCCAGGGTTGTAAGCTTGATTCCCAGTAGGGGATGTGCAGGAGGCAGCCGACCGATGTTTCTCTCTCTCCCTCTCTCTTCCTCTCTCTCTAAAATAAAAACATATTAAAAAAACAACAACAAAACAGAAAAAAACCTGGAGAGGCAGAGGCCGCACACTCCCTTCATTTACTCGGGCCCTTCTCCTCCAAAAGGTCCTTTTGATGTATCACCAAGAAGTCATCTCCTGAGCACTAAGGCACAACTTCAGCAATTCTCACCCCATGCCTGGCTAAGAATGCCCAAAGAGACTTCTAGGCCAATTATTTTCAAAGAGGGAACTAAATTCACAGGCTTCGAAGAGAGGCTTGATGGTTGGGCTCCTTTGTTATGATTTATATATAAACAGAAGAGCCATCCCACAAGGATGGCATATGATGGACCCTGGGGACTGACGGCAGGTGAGTGACAGGCCATCTACAGTTTGGCTTCACATTAGTTCCTACCACCGTGGAGTCCAAAGTCTCTCCAGGCCGTCATTTCCTCTAACTGATTTGAAGGTGCCCAGTGTAAAATCAGCTGCCCAAGGAGGACCTTAAGTTAAAGCCATTGTCCCTGTTCTTCTGAGACAGAAGAAGAAGGTGATGAACACAGAGCTGAAGCCCTGCTGTAGCTGCTCGGTCTGAACTGGAAGGCGGACGCCCACCGACCTGTGTGCCAAGCTCTGCTCTGTTAGGAAACCACATCGAGGCTAGAGCATCGCTCATTCCCACACCACCGGCAGCCACCTGCTCCCCCTTCTGAGCTGGAGACCTGTTTTGTGTCCTCTGAAGGAACAAATGGTCTGAAATATTGAACTGGAAAGAGTGCTCCGGGTGCACGTTCTCTTTCCCGGGCTCCCGGTGATGTTACTGATTGAGGGCCCGGGATGGGCCGGCACCTGGGCATTTGTTATGTCATTATTTCTCCCCACCGCCCTCAGAGGGTGATGACTTCATCTCACAGATGAGGAGATTTAGCTTCGAAAATGCTTAGCAGCTGCTCAAGGTCACATACCTGCTAAGTGACAGATTTGAGTCACCGAGCTCCTCACCACAGACCTGTCTCTCATGCCAGAGATGCTGAGCTCCTTGGCCCGGGCTGCAGCCCCTGTGGTGCCGGTGTTTCAAGTTCCCCGGGTGACTCTGCTGGGCTGCCTGGGTTGGGAACCACTGTATGACATCAGCCTTCCTATAGATCAGGGGTTTTATTCCATCTTGCATCACAGACACCTTTGGGGTGGTGGTGGGGGGAGCTATAGATCTCTTCTATGAAAAAAAATATAAATTCAGTTATACACAAAAATTGCATGCACTTTCAGGTGATTATGGAAGCTTTGGAGCTTCTACGTGGATTCCACCGAGTGTCGTGAACTCAAGGCTGAGTCTATAAATCCTTGGCTCCGGGTACATGGCCACACATGGGAGTTAGCTGAGCCTTGAAACAGTTACTCCTGGTCCCCACCCCAGATCTGATTCAGCAGGACCGAATCTACAGTCCTATAGTATGTTCCCAAATGATTCTTATATATCCAACCAGAAAACAGTCTTTGGACTGGTTTTTTGAGACCACAACTCTAAACGATACCCATTCAATGGATGAGAAGTCATTAGGTCAGCGGTTTACCTCCCCAATCCTACTGTCTTCTGTCAAGTGGGAATAACAATTGTCCCCACCTGATAGGGTTGAAAAGGGGATTAAACTGAATATTCCATGTGAGTGTTTAGCAACGTGTCTGGCACATAAATCTCTGATGTTTATTTATCGCTAATTATATAGCAGTATTTTATCATCTATCTAACTCATCTCTGTAAATGATCTCTTGGTGATTGAATGAGGAACAGAATGTAATTCCTAGCAGGATGTCAACAAAAATACATGAAAGAAAGGAAAAAATTCGAAGTTTATTAAACATTAAGAATAACAAAGGTTTGCTTCCACAGCATAAACACCAACCACATCATGGTACACAATTAAACTGACCTCAGGTGACCTTTTACCTGTTTGGCGGATGCAACCCTTGTGGTGTTGCCCAAAAGATAACGGTGAATTATTGTGATGTTTGGTAAGGTGCTCCAAAATCGAAGATTTTTATGTCTTGACTTAAATATTTGCACACACGCACACTCCCCTACATACATTTGGCCCTCTGCAAAATGTACTGACTTCAGTTGCCAAGTTCAATCCATCAAGATCTAGGCTAAAGCTTTGCTCATTTTTTAAATGGCATTATAAATTGTAGAGAAAATCTGTAGGCGACCTTGGCCTCCCCAGTGGGGGCCTATGTGCCCTGAGCAGGGAGCTGGCAGGTGGAGAACAGGTGTCTACCTCGAGGAGGGCAGAGAACACAGTGTCCAGTTCCCTGCAGCTTGCTGGCCCTGGGTTAAATCTAGGCCTCCACACCCCCGGCACAAGCAAGCAGACCAAGCAGGCCAGCCTTGGAATCACTCTGATTAACTTTAATAAAGTCTGAGTTTTCCTAAAAGGAACATCAGGGGGAAATTAGATAAATTACTGGAAAAAAGTATAAAGTCATATTTTATAGACATTTGTTGTTTTACCCTGGGACAGTGGGGGAGGAATCCAGAAATTCTTCCAAATCTAATTCTTCCAGAAATAGATCCAAGACCTTGTCAATGTACATTTAGAATTATTTCGAGCTCCTTTAAGAGACTAGGGAATTGAAATGAAGCTCTGGGTTCTCTAGTACAGCTTCCTGCCCAGCTAACACCAGGATCACATACGTACTCTCCTCGAACAAACGGTCCTCCTGCAGATGAAAGGCCTGTCAATCTTGCTCAACGTGGGGTTTTAAAAGGCGGCCACTTCTTCAAGAGAAGGACATGATCACCTGCAGCCTTTCCATTTCCTACCTGCCCCCACAAGGCAGCATGAACAGAATGGTAGGATGATCATTTCTTGCCTTTCTTTGCAAGTCTGGTCAAAAGAAACGATGATGTGACCTTATCAGGAAGCCCTGGACCACTCGTTCCAAATCGCGTCTAAATGATGTTGGCGCGATATGATTGGGATTCATTTTTAATGGCTAAGTAATTAATCTCTGAAAGATGCTTATGATGAAACGGTGAAAAATGACAACAGGACTCTTAGAATAGCTGCGGTCTGCAGAACTCATTTGACTCTGGTTGATCCGAGTCACTCCAAACTGGGCCATGGCCTCCCACGCCATTTAGCAGAACTGCCTTAATCATGAGTTAACTGCCCTGGATGGAAGGCGGTAAGTCTAGGAGCGTGTGCTCACGTGTGTGTGGTGACAATGACCTACATATAAGGCACGTGTACAGACTCCAAAGTTTAAACATTTTTAAGACGAGGTAGGTCTTCCGAAACCCTTCCTGGCACATGAAAGAGTAAGTTTTATTATGACCTTTTTATTTCTTCTGCAGAAAGTATTTGTGATGCTCACTGGATACAAACAATCTACTTCCAAGAAAGACCAGTGCTCAAACACAGGTTTTCCTTTTTCCTGGCTACCGTTTTATACATCAATGAATTTGGGTGGTCCAGGGTACAATCCCTTCAATGCGTCTCCACTTAAAGATATCACTGGTCTCTGCTTTTGTGAATACTGCCATTTAACAATTCTGCTGCTATGAGCCTCTTTACTGATCAAAAGGCCAATCCCGGGCTCACTTGTGTCCCTTACTGGGTATCACTTCTTCAGTTCTGCTCGAGATTGCCAAAGGCCTTGTTTCTTTTATTAGCCGTTTACCTGAGCAATGCATTTCGGTTCCAACACTCTTCCACCTCCCACTGTAATATGTAGCTTGGGACAAAATGAACACCTAGCAGGAATATCCTCCTAGTCGGGTTTCCCAAGACCCATGAGACAACTGCTGACGGACTGACAAGGAGACCACCAGGTCCCTAAAGAATCAGATACTCTGGAGGCAGGAAACTAGGAAATCCCGTGGATGAAAGGGTATTTTAATCTAGCACAAAATGTTTCTTGGCAATAACAGCAGAATCTCTTGACATTACACAACTTAGTGAAACGAAAGAACAATCTTTAAAGTCGGAACATCCATCAAATTATAAGCCAACACATAGCACCGATATCGACCGTACAGCGCCGGAGACGCCCGTGCCCGCGGGGAGAACAGAACTGTTTGGGGTGTTTGCCGGGCTGCTCCGTTCCAGGAAGTCATCATTTTGAAGGGAACATTTTTGTGGCAGATGCTTTTCCTGAAAAACACTGTAGCATCCAATAAATATTTGGTTAACATCCATTTTGTGCTTTTGGGTGACGTTAACTGACTTCTTTCTGAGACCTCATAGGAAACAAGAAATCTTGCATATTTTAGAGCAGGATTCGTCGCAGCAGCCTCGATACTGTCGTAAAATTTCGAAGCAGAAAATACGCTGATGTGTCAGTGACAGGCTTAAAATATTAAAGACTTCAAAACCCCCAAGCCCTTCTCTGTACATCGTTGACGAATATATATCTTTGCTATATAATTTCAAAACATGGAATAGTTACCCTTTTCTCTTTGCTATATATAATATATGTCTTCCAAAATACATGGTCAGTATTTATATCTGAAAAATACTGTACAAAAAAAAACAACTTCCTATAATTACTCTGTATAAACATTAAACAATCTCATAATCTCTCCTTTTGGTCTATAGTAAACATTATTTAAACTGATTGGATTAACCACAGTTTGCGACAACACCATCCCCTTCTGAGATACACCAGTGTCTTTTACATTCATTTTTTTTAGAAGTCCACTTTATAAAAGCACATACGTTCAAAAGCAAACAGAGAATAAGAAACGTGAGCTCCAGAATCATTAATTTATGAAGCATTCGAAAAGGACGCCACTAGGAAGAGGGCCCTTACAAAACACCAACTCATTAACTTAACTGATTTTTTTTTTAAAAACAGCAAGGTATAATTCACAAAAATAGATATATTACAAAAAATGGGGAAAACTGAATCTTAAGCAATTGAGTTGTTTTGAATATCAAGAGGGCTATGGAAAGAGTTAACTATAAAAGTAGGGGGTGGGGGGTGGGGGAAGGGAGAGGGCAAAACCAAACGTATGGATGTCAAAAGCTGTTGCAAGATGCATTTTGTTTTGTTTTGCTTTGGCTCCTACACTGATCAATGAACCCCTCCTGCTCAGACCTGGCACGTCCCTCTGCTTCCCTGTCCTGGGGGTGTTCTGGGCATGCTCCAATGCATTACTGTAACTTCTGTTTTTTAAAAGAGGGCGGAAATTCTTAGGGAGGGAAAATACCCTACGTCCACTAGTAATACTCAGGCAGCATGCTCTAGCGCACAACAGGATTATTGCTTGAGGTACAGACGGTGCAAAAAACACACTCTGTGTTCTATAATAGTACTTACTTATCTGGGGTGGGTAGAATGGAAAGGAAACTTAGTAGAGAGCGGGAAGTGAATGCGGGCTCTAACAAACCTAAACAGCACTTTAAATCTGAGGACGCTCCACCACCCGAACGGCAGGAACGAGGAAAGCGGCCTGTAGCTGGGGCGCGCGGGGGAGCAGTGCCCGGGACCCTGCGCGCCGGTCTCGCGCGTAACTTACAGACCGAACAGAAACAAGAGCTGTCGCCCCGAAACCTCAGAGCTGCTGTTCGTTCTCCCAGGGCCCCCCTTTCGGTGGATCCCGGCACAGGGTCCTGGGAAGATAGGTGAAGAGCGAACAGGAACGAAGCCACGCGGAAAGGGCGCGCGAGTGGGGAGCAGGGGGAGCGGCAGGAACACCCGCGAGAGGGCTCCGAAGTCTAGTAAAAACACGGCACCTTTCTGTGTTTGGAGCTGAAAGGCGAGAGGGTTCACCTGGAAACGACAAGTGCAAAGGGCCCCGCGCGCGCGCGCCCCCCCGCCACGGAGTCGGGGCGCTGGCGGCGGCCTCCGGTAAAGTGCTGATGTCGGGGTGCGGCGCTATGGGACGGGAAACGAAGTGTCCATCTAGTCCAAAGCCAGCCCCCCCGCCGCCCCACGCCGTCCTACAGGGGCCCGTGCCGGGCCTCGTACTTGGCCAGAATGTTCTTGCACTTGCCCAGCTCCTTGCGCAGGTCGGCCACCTCCTGGCGCAGGGCCGAGTTCTCCTTCTCCAGGAAGGACGCCCGGATGGCGATCTGGTTCTCCTTCAGCCGGCGCGCGTCGCGGGAGCGCTTGGCTGCCATGTTGTTCTTTCTGCGCCTTGCCCAGTACTTGTCATCCTGCTCGGTAGTCACAGAAGGAAAAAGAAACGAGATATTAGATTTCAGCAGCGGCGCCCGGGGTCCGCCGGGGCGCTGGCAGGCCTCGGGGTGGCGCCCGGGCCCCGGCCCAGGCGTCTCCACGCGCCTCTCCTTCCTCGACAGTCTCTGCGCGTCTGGGAGGAGAGTCTGTGCGCCCTGGTGTCCTTCCTGGAGCAAGGACCCACCTGTCACCACACGCTCCACTCTCCTTGCCCAGCGGAGCATGTGCCCCACGGGGAGAGGTCGGAGGCGGAGCGAAAGCCAGAGGCGCACCGCACACCCTAAACTGCATTCCAGATTTCTCCACTCTTTTTGCTAAAAGTTTTATTTTAAATGAACTCTTCTCTTCCATGGGCACGCCTATGCTTTATGATAGAAGTTGATACAATATGGCTGGAAGGCCACTTGGCGAGATCTGTCAACTGTTTAAACGCAGGTACCACTGACCTAGCAATTCCATTTCTAAGATCTCGGCCTATAGCAATCTTCATGTGTGTGCACACAGACACAGGCACAGAATTTTCACTGCAGCACTGTTTACAATAGGAAAAAAACAAAAAACAGAGGGAAAATCTAATTATCGGTGGGAGATTTAATAACTACATAACCATGGAGACTACTCTGCAGCTGTTAAAAATAATGACCCAGCTGAACCGGAGAGGTGTTCATGACATACCTCTGAGTGGGGGCACACCGGCCATCTGCAGATAAGTATGTGTGGCCTCATCCCACTTTGGTTAAAAAAATCGTAATATTACGTATTCATAGGAGAAGGCCCAGAAGGACTTATGCCAAGCTGTTAACAGTGATGCCTTTAGGAGGGCAATTCAAGGGAGGGGCCAAGGAGAGAGGCAGGATCTTTAACTTTTTATTTTATATCCTTAACTATTAGGAGATTACATAATGGGCATGTACACTTTGGTAATTAAAAACAGAAATTAAAAAAGTAAACTTCTGCCTGCCACCGATCAACATGCTCATAGTGGTGGCTAGTATCAAAGTAATTTACTCTAGTTTCCTGTTTAACTGTCCTCTACGCATTAATTAGCCTGAGTAATGTTTAACTGTGGTCAGCAAGAAAGCAGTCCCTTCTTCCCCCTCCCCTAACGACATCGACATCGCTGCTCCCCCTGCCAAAAGAAAGGGGAGGTTTCCTGGGAAGACTAAGAAATGCCAGCCTTCTTTTAGACCTTCCTAATTGATTTATGGTGCCACCTGGTGAATTTTGCCACCTCTCCTTTTTTTTTTTTTAACAACTTGCAAGAGCAAATCCTTCCATCCTGGCAAGCCTAATACCTGCAGGCACATGCCACCCAGAATACGTGGGTGAGGCCAGTTCTCACCCTCCCCCAGGATTCCAAGGGGCAGCTGGCACTGGAGGAGGTCACATGGGTTGGGGCCAAGGCTGCAAGCCAGGTCCAAGGTCAGTGGTCCACCTCCATACCCGCCCATTACCCTCAGACGTGTTTCCTAAACAAAGACCAAGTGTGAGACAGACAACTGTGTGCAGGCCCCTCTGCCTTTCACATGCTGGGGCTCTTATTTACAAAGCACTTTCAGCTTTCTATGCATTTCATAATAATAGGTAACAAAGTGAATAAAAAAGATCTTCCTAATAGCTGGTACCAGAACTCTTCTTAGAGAGGTGTTAGCTTGGGGCAGGTGTGCAGTGGCTGTTGGTGGGATTTGGGATTTGTGCTTCCAAAAGGTAGCAGGGAGCTGGAGGAGGGGGTGGGGCCAGGCCAGCTGGATGAGAGGCTGGGGGAGCTGGGGGCGGGAAAGACTCCCCAGGGGTGGATGGGCCCATGTGAAGTCTCCAGTTCTGAGACGGGAGTTGTCTGTGTTACTTGGATGGAAGCCCCAATTCCACTCGACTGGGGGTGTCAGTAAGTCTACCCTACTCCTGGGAGTGTGGCTTCCAAGAGCATTCGAGAGAGGGGCTGACTTCAGATGTGTCAGAACCTGCACCCAGGGGAACAGGAGCCCGGGAGGTGATGATGCAGGAGCTCGGGGGGTGATGAGAACAAGCCTCTGGGAAATTACAGAAGCTGTGTGTGTGTGTGGTGGGTGGCAGACGGAGGTGCAGGCCTGGTGGTTTGTGACCAGGTCGTAGGGACCAGGGAGTCACCAGCTGACCTCGGGGTTAACAACGGCATTCTCTGTCTCAGAGCTCTTCTCGCCTCTAAGGCGTGTACACTGCCCAGCCTCATCCGTCCACACACGCAGACGAGTTGTGAAGGGGGAAGAATGGGGACGTGGGAACAGGAATGGGATAGAGAACACAGAAGGCAGGAAGGATGGAAGGACTGCCCCCCTCTCCCCCCAGAGAAAAGCCAGGGTGCCGCCCACTGTATCACAGGATGGTTGGGGAGGGGAAAGCAGGATACTCAGTGGGGCTACATCCCCTGTCCCCTTCCCTTCTGCCTCCCAGGGGCAGATGCCATCTGGCTGCCCAGTTTCGCCCACCCGGCAAGGATCCTCTCAGTCCTGTCCCATCCTCCTCCTGAGGGCCTCACGCTTGATGCCCCCTCCCT